GCTCAGTAAAACAGTTTCCTGATGAGTTTCTGGTCTCAGTCTCTAGTTTCAGTCTTAAACCGGGACTCCACAAACTGACGAGTCATGATAGGTTCACAGTCGGCTACAACAAAGAAACTTTTACAAACAGTGTGAATGTGCTTCTAGTGACTCAATCACTGCTGTCGCTGTCAAGGCCCCGCCCCCTAAAGTCCCCGTCCTTTACAGGTCTCTGATGCATTTTATAAATGTGCAGAATCATGATCATGATGCTCCGTCTCTCTCTCAATAGTCTTCCCATAGAGTTCCTTTCTGCAGACTCAAGACTCCAAACGCCCTTAAATCTGTTTTTCTACCACTTTAAATGAACGCAGCGTTTCCTCTTTCAATCACAGCTCGCACAGACACAAATCTACCCCCTGCCTGCTCCAAGCCCCCAGTGGGCGACCTTTTCCTTTTTACCCACAGTCCTTCATGCTTCTTGCAGCTCCTCCGGAGGCCTGTCAGGGTTCATACATCAGGCACCTGCAGCGGGGATCGCTGTGCCCATCACATGTGACAGGGGAACACGCTGAGGTAATGGACAGCGACAGAGCACGCACCGACTCAACTCGCTGCTCCAAGAGGACGGCAACAAAAAAATGTCTTCCTTCAGAGGACGAGACACAGCAAGAATCTCAATTTCACCGCAGTAGACAGGTGATGTGAGACAGACAAGCTGTCACACTGGATGTCAGTCGGTGTTTCAGCTGGTGAAATCAGAGGGAAAAAAAGAGTCATTTGTATTCAGGGAGTTTTTTTTCTGTTTGACTTTCTTTGGCTGAAATGTTTTATCTGTCTAACATTTCTGTTCTCTAAACAGAAACAGCTGCTTGGTTTGTCCACACCATGTGTCTCGCTGTGTTAACTGTATGTTTTTATGACCTTGACGCTGCAGGAAACAGACTCTTCTCCACGTTTACAGTCTCCCTGTGTATGTTTCTGTAAATCAGCAATACACACTTTTTAAAAGCAACAAATTTGTGCATTAATGAACGTTTCCTGTTTTTACTGCTGTTTCTGCATCACGTCATATGTTCTCGAACAGGTAAAGCATTTAAATACATTTATTTAGGCTAACAGGGTTCGTTTTTTCCACACAGAAGGAATCAGACCTTCGGTCGGTTCATTTAGATCGATCCAAAATCTTTACACTCCTACCTGTTTGTGTTTGTTTCTTCCTAAACACAAATACCTGGATATACCTTTTTTTAAATAATAATTTCTAACTTTTTCTGCCTGGTTTGTTAGCTTCACTGGATGTAATCATGGAAACAGAATCTGTTTTATGAACCAGACATCATCATGTTTGAGTTTAGAGTCATGATTGAAAAACATTTAACTAATATTCATATATCTTTTCCTTTATTAAGCATTTTGCAAACTGTATAACAACCTGAAGTTTCCGTCCAGAAGCCTTTGTGCTCCCAGAGCAAACACAATCGTTAAGAGCTGAGATAAATCCTAGTGATGTGTTATAGTTTCCCCACTGCGACTGGCTTTCTCGCCCACTGTGAAACCGGGAAGTCTGCTGCATTATTTAAAAATCACCCTCCCGGCCTCCGAACCGCTGCATGTTTTCTCCCTTTTCTCTGCGAGCAGAAAACAAAAACAGTTCATCTGTGTTTGTGGACGAGGTTAGGAGAGAAGCTCTTCAGAACCAGACATGTGGACCACCCATGGAGAAGGTGGAGGGGTTTTCACTCGTCTTCATCGTTGTTTCCTGATTGTGCTGAATAGACTGCAGCTCCCTGGTGTCCTCGACACATTCTGCCAGATGGTGCTCTTCTGTCAGCGGAGGGAACAGAGGTGGACTGTTCACGATGCTTCAGTGCAATTACACCGAGCTGTGTGGGATGTGTCCTTTTAAACCTCTTCACACAAAGAAGCTGTTGGAAAATGGTGTTTTTATCCGAATAGACCAGTTGGTGTGTTACAGAAAGCAATGGAAGAGTATTATTAATATACTTATAGCGCCTTTCATACAGACAATAACAACAGACAACAATACGAGGAGTTATTTTAACTCAGATATATGTTGAAACACAAAATCAGTTTTTAAAACTTTAACTTTAACTTTTTTAAGTGCTTTTTGTTTTATAGTACAAATACAAACTACTAAATTAGGTTAGCGTCACTTACAGTGACTTAAGCTACATTACTAAGCTTAAGTCACTGCTTAAAAATTAAATTAAGTAAGTAAAATGTTCGATGTAATCAATTTCAACCATTTTTTTTACTTTTTATCTGATTTTAACACAGTGTTGTTATTTTAACTCAAATTGTTGAAACGGATCACATTGAAGATTTTAGGTAACACAAACTTAGTTTATTGTAAGTTGAGATAAAAATTACAAGATTAAGTCAGTGTCACTTAAATTTACTAAATCTACTTGATCGACAAGGTTTTTAACTTAAGTTAATTAAGTTAGTTTTAATTAAATTGTTCGAATTTTTCAACAATATTTTGAGTCAAACTTATATAGTTTTACAGTGTAAAATGTTTTCTGAATATGTGTTTCTTTGCGTCTTGTACCATGTTATTATATTTTATATATTATCTAATAATCACATTTAGGGAAGTTTTATGCAACAAGTAAAATTAAGTGTCTATATAAAGTCTGATTTATGTTTAAGTCAAAGACTATTCTGCAAAAACAAACCAAATATTATTAAATATAATCAAATTTTCTTGTATTAAGCAAAAATAAAAAAAATCAGCCAGAGGAGTAAAACAGTTTAATTGGGTTTGAAATCTTAAAATGAACCATAAACCAGAAAAAAAGGCAAAAGCGATATTCGTTAATATAGAAAACGACAGTAGACAAAACCACAAAATTAAGCTTTAATATAATTTAAACAGGTGAGTTATTTAACAATTCAACCCTGTGCAGTCATCATGAACGGGAAAATTAACTTTCACAAAACAGTTTTTTGAACGAGGTTGTAAACATGTTTATTCTGCAGTTTAATATGGAGCCTTATGGAGACTCACTGCTGGAGCCTCTAGTGGCTGTTAGAGGAACTGCAGGTTTGTAACTTCAGTTCAGTCATGATGCCGGTTGGTGAATACATTAATTAGAGCCCCAGCAGCGACCTCCTTCTAGAGAGTTGATCGGTTCAAATTTAAAATTGGTAAGTACGCTTTAAAGAAGCTCACTATGAAAAGTTATCAAAATCTCGACTTTTCGTCAAACGGTGTGTCCGTGGCGTGGTGGCAAAAATCAACGTTTTCCCATAAAACAGCCCTTTTTGTAACTATACAGCATTTCATCAAAGAAGCCCCGACAACACATTTAATGTACACACACAAAAATTGGTGGGCACATGTATCCTGTCAAGATCTACAAAAAAGGATTTTCAACTTTAGCTTTAGTTTCCAGGCTCTACTTTACCCGGATTGATCAGACTGACTAAAGATGGTGATGATGATGACAATGGACAGTTGTCCATTAAAGCTTGAGGTTTGGCCAGGAAACACAACCTGAACACAGCTACATGCCATTATTCAGTCATAGTCATGGCGCCACCTACTGCTCGGGCCCGTCCATCGCCGCTCGCAGCGTTAATTCACTTTTGTTGTCAGATGAGAAGATTGAACTGAGATACAAAACGGGATCCAAATAAACTAAAAATAACCTTTTGTGTAGCGGCTTCATGAAAGCGTCTAATGATCAAGCAGGAGGAGGTCACCTTGCCCGGAGGCCTCGTGGCAGCACTGACCCATCAACCACATCTGCAGCCGTCAATTAGAGCGAACCAGCGTCGGGGAAAACACAGAGCTCGACGTGTCGTCCTTTTTCATCTCTGCTCTCGTTTTATATTCTTCAGTTGTTTCACACGGCGAGTGAGTGATGGCTTCCTGCGTTTATCTGCTGCACATTAGCATATCTTTCTGAGCGGTGTGCAAATTCATGATCAGATGAGATGAGAAGGGAATTCTTCAGAGGTTACTGTGTAGTTTTAATTTATTATTTAAAAAGACGAGGTTGGTTTACGGCAAACGAGTGAAAATGCTGAGCAACTATTTCATATTAAACATTTATAACGGCTCATTTAAAGGTCGGTGAGGTTGAAGCTCGACAGTTTGAGTCACACACTGAATACCACTCGTACCAGCAGCATCATAAACAATAAAAAGCTTCTGTCGCTATTTAAGAGCTGTAAAAAGATATAATTAAAGTTTAAGTTCACTCCCAGATTTTCATTCTTCAGTCTCAACTGGTAATTTATCAGATTCACTCTGGAGCTACTCAGCATTATTACTTCCAAACACCTGCACTGCAACAGCATATCTTAATAAACATTAACTCGATACTCAATCACATTAATTAAAGCTAACTCAAAAATAAACCATTAAAGTAATAACTTAAATGTGTGCAGTATTTTGAATATTGGTGATTTAATTCCAGTTTGTTCCATTGACTCATTTTCCTTAAGTTGACTTTACATCGTCACAGAAATGGAAACGTCACTGTGCTATGTTTTCATCTGTTTATAAATCATACATTTTTCATGATGACCAAAGTGTAAAGATTGGATTTTAATCACATAGAAAATAAATAACAACAACAAGATGCTGTTAAGTTACTTTATTCAGATAAATTCTGTTAACACGTTTTAAATAAGTTTGGAGAAATGCTGCATATGAGTTTAGTCACACACTTAATTTTACCTGTTGCATAAAACCTCCCTTAAAGTGACTATTAGAGTGCAATATGGGAGAAAAGACACATTTAAAATAGCGTAAGAGCATATTATAGTATTTTAACTATAGGTTCATGTAAATCTCTTTGTACTGATAGTAAATTCATGTTTTAATGTTTAAAGTAGGAGGAAGGGGAACTTTAAACATTCACTCTACTTTAATCACTAGTTTAGATCTGTTCCGGATGTAGTTTTATTCTGAAAGCGCGGCCCGGTAGCAGTGTGCGTATATAAGCGCTCCGGTTGACGGTGGCTTTAAACGAGAGCGCTTTTGGTTCCCGACGGTCAGAGCGAGCAGCGGACACACAGCGCCGGTAACCGGTAACCGAGCTGCTGCAGCCGGTTGTTGGTAGTTGGTTGGATTTATTAGTTTGTTGTTGTTTATTTCTGCGGCAGAAAAGAAACGTTAGGAAGGAAGAAACGGTGAGTTACAGCCGGTTATTTACCGACTCACTTTACGGTGTTTTTCTGTGTAAACGTGATTAAATTAATGTTTTTAACTTAATAATGTTAAATCACAGTTCAAAGCCTAATTTGGATGATTTATTTCTGAAAACTGCAGCATCTTCTATTTATTTATCTATTATTTGACATTTATTTTGGATGTTAAAGCGTCTTCAGATAAATAACATTAAGTTTTGAACAAAAACTATATAAATTATAAGCGTTATATTGATATTAATTATGCATGAAAACTATCTGTATAATTGTATTAAGTGTATTTCACTTTGTTCTTATCGCAGTTTGAAGATACATCATGTAAAACTTTAATAAAAACTAAAACTCTTAAAACAAACTGTCTAACATTACACCATCAAATATAAGAATTCCTTCAGAAATCTTATTTTGTGTATTATTGTATGAATCTTATTTACAGTTTAGATATAAAATACATTAAATTGGAAATTAAACAGTTAAAAGACACATTTTAGTTCCATGATCAATAATAAACAGCATCAGTTGAGTAAAACAGTAACTCTATTATAGATTATTTAGTAGATCAATAGATGAAGCTGCTCAGTGTTTTCAGCATTGATGCTATTTGATGAACTTCATGACCTGATGTTTGTGATGAAAGATGGATGATGTAATACTCAATAACTCTGCTCTGATCAAATCTGACATCAATATTGTTTACAACAACAACAAACAAACAAACAAACAAACAAACAACAGTTCAATGTTCATTTATTGTTTTAGTTCATTAAAAAACTTCACAAACTTTTATACAACATAAAGTCTTTCCATTAGAATTCAAAATATATTTGTTATTAATATAGTAATTAAATGATCCTGATAATTAATAATAATATAAATATATAATTATCCATGATTTGGTAAAAAGACACTAAAAGCTCCCAAATCTTTCATATCTTTTCATATAAAACCAATATCTTCACTCTGGTTTTAAAACAGAGCCCGCTGCAGTGCCACCTCAGGACCCCCCTCTGGAAACGCCCCTGTAAACATGAACAAATATAAATATAAAAGTTGTTTATTATCACAACTAAACATTCATATAAAGAAGAGCACAGTACCAACACAGATTACAACTGTTATCTATAGTTATCTGTTGAAAGAGGGATTTTAAAGGTATTTAACTAGTTAGTATACATGTTAATATTTTGTTCAATAAAAACAGGATTTTAGCAGTTTCAGAGCAGATTGTCTGGTTTTAAAGTGTCTGTATGTGTAGAAGACATAAAACCCTCCTCTGTTGACAGCCAGCTATATTTTTAGAGCAAAATAAAGTCTCCAAATGAGAGTTGATTGGCTGGCATGGTGTCTAGTTGAGTAGCCAAACAAGCATTTGGCTGGTGTTTGTTTCTACTTTCACACCTCGTGAGTCTGTGCAACACATACGCTGACCTCGCCATACTGCGGTCCTCGGCTGCCAGGCTCTCGTCACGAGGCCCCTACGTGTGAAGGTTTTCTTTGCGTTGTGTTTAGATCAGTTTGGCATCTTAATTCGAGGCCATCTGCACGAGAGAAACAGAATATTTAAAGTGTGTGGAAGTCTTACATGTTCACATAAAGAGGCAAATAATCAGGGAAATTTCTTTTTTTTTTGTGTTTCGGTTTGTTTTGCTTATTCTGCTGTTTTATTATTTAATAATCAATGAAGACATTAGTCTAAAAATGACCAATCAGGTTACTAATGAACATCATGCTGTATGGAAAAGACTGAAATAGAGACTTGAGACAGAGAAACTCATCAGGAAACGTGTTTACTGACTCATACATCACTGAGAGTCGACCTCATTATCTCCCATAGAGACTGAATGGTATCTGTGTGTTATTGCAACCAGTGGAGTTCCCCCTGCTGGTTGTTACAGAGAATGCAGGTTTAAGGTCTGTCCGTTGTATACACTGTCAGTGGTTCAGCCTCACATTAGTGTGGTTGTTTCTCAGTCTTACAGTCTTCATGTGTTGTGGTTACAAATGAACTCTCTGAGTTTTCGTGTTAGGCGGCGGTGTGGCGCCCTGGTACCCTGATGGCGGGCCACACGTTACATAACTGCAGCGTCCACAGTTCGATTCCCGGCTGAAGGACCTTCGTTGCATTTGCAGCTGCAGGGTGTGCGTGCAGCAACATAACAGCTCCCCAACAGTGAAACCAGAAGGTGTCGATCTGTTGTAGCCGCACTGTTCTGGTGCTGGAAGATGTTTTACTTCATTAAAGGATCTGATCCTTCCTGCACTGGGGGGCTTGTGGGTAACCTGTGCAGGTTTGTTTCCCGGTGTGAGTGTGTTAGTAACGTTAGGTTGCAGTATAATAGTTACTGATGGGCTGTGTGTTGTGTGAATGTCTCAGTTTATTAACGTTAACATTATTGCGGTGACTGTGGGCAGCTAGTTAGTCTAAACTGGAGATTATTGGATAGTTATATGGATTAAATGATGATTTTAGGAATTGTTTCTGCCCTGTTACTGTATGTGAGCGTATACTGCTAACCCTGTATGATTGCTATCATTGCTTTGTGCTCTGACTCTTTAACTCTTTCTTTCCTGGGAGATAGCAATGCAGGGAAGTAGCAAGGTCCCATTTTAAGGGCTAATAAATTACGTGGTATCGGATGAGGTAGCTCGTCTGGCAGAGCGTGTACCACGTATGCCCGGGTCCCTTTGCCCCCCCCCCCCCCCCCGCCGCTCCCGTCTCTCTCTACTGTCAAAGTAACCTTTAAAACATCCATGTGGGGATAATCTTAAATACAGCTCAGTCACAAGTTTAGGTTCTTCCTCGATCCTTCGCTGTTTGCTGCTATCGGTCTCTCCCGCCATCACCTCCACATCCTGAAAGTTCAGGTCGAGCCTCCGGAGGACGCTGACAGGCATTATGGCGAGGGCAACCACAGGTCCATCTGTCCCTTCCCTTCATGTGCGGCACGGAGGCACTTTGAGTCTATTTGTGGATCACAGCATGGTCGCTGCGGCCTGACAAAAGGACTGACAAGGGGGGCGGGGGGGCGATCCTCAAGGACTGGCGGTTACTTTACTTCCCATCCTGCCAACAGAGCGTCTCCGGGGGTAAAGTGAGGGACGATCGCTGCCGGATGGACTGACAAATAGAGACGCCTGCTGTCGTCTGAGGAGGATATAAAATACCAGGCTGTCGCTGTCAGCGGCGCTGTTGGTTTATCCTTCGATTAAAGTTTATTCAATTCATTAATTACTTGTTTAATCTATAAAATGTCTTAAAATAGTTAAAAATGCCTGTTCTAATGTCCCAGAGTTCCCAGAGCCCACAGTGAATCTGTAAAGTACTTATTTTGTCCGAACAGCAGTTGTGAAAAAAACTGCAAATTATGACATTAACCCTCTAAACTCTCTCTGAAGCCCACATTGGTATTTTTTGCTCTTTGTGATGTAATTTCTTCAAGATTTTGAAATGATTAATATCCATAAAGTCGTTACAACCCAAGCTAAGTAAATAAACCACAATAGTTGAAGAAAGTGTTGAAATTGATTCGTAAATTAAAGAAAAGCAAAATTTGAACACAGTTTACATCCACAGAGCTTCACTCTCTTGTCCTGCTTTAGAAAACAACCAAAGAGCTTATCAGAACAATGGCGGACTCCAGAGAAAGAACCCCAAGAAAACTCAACAAAAATTTGTCCAAAAAAAGGAGAGAAAGAGAAGAATGTGAAATAACTGAAGTGGATTAATGAAACTCGATGTGACAGAACACGAAGAAGGAAGTCGTTTCCAGTGATTTGTTTTGAATTAAATTTCGGCCTTTAACACAACTGCGACACATAATGCTAAGCCCTGGCTGCTCTTTCAAAGGTTTCCTAAGTTTTAACAAGATTAAATTCATTCAAACGTGAATTAAAAAGCAGATGGTCAGACCTCCACCAGAGCGACCCGTCCCTGAACTCTAGCT